CCACACACATACTTGTTCTTGTCCTCACAGATGCATTAAAGTCAATTGGATGACGAAGTTAGTGAGAAGAAGTGCACAATCATAGAGACATTAGGGGCACGGCCAACATCAACTGAACTGAGTCAACTTCCAATCCACACCTTCATAATTATTATTAACGAAAGATTCCTTGCCCCCAATCGAAAAAAAAAACTTTGCCATCGGAGCTGTATGTTTCCAAATTTGTCATAGATTTCATCTTAACCCTTAAAGAGCCGGGGGCAGAATCCGCCCCCTTGATATTTTTTTCCGATATCGCCGCAGTGCGTTTTTTCCCAAGAGCTGAGCCTTAAGAATTTTCAGAGTAACTCTCTGTGGTAATGTTCGCACTATAACGTGGTAAACATCAATATACCGTTCTTAAACCCACATTTTTTCGAGACAGGCCAGCCAAATATGTAATTTTTCCACGGCCTTACTCGTGCAATGCACGTGGGCATGCGAAGTATCAACGTTAAAATCTCCCGCTGGAACTTCGCGCATGCATTCTAGGGGTACAATGAAAACCGTGATCGCCTGGAGTTTAGGCAGACTCGAGCCAGACCACACTTTTCGGACGTTAAATAATACGGGCGTTTCACAATAGTGCACCTTCAAACGTTTGCAACGCGTTGGCCAATCACAGTGTGCGAAATCTGTCGACCCAATGCGCGTTTGGAACGGGTCGACAGATTTTGCGCGTTGTGATCGGCTAAGGCGTTGCAAACTCTTGGAGGTGCACTATTGTGAATTGCCCGTATTATGCCCGTTAAGTTGAACGAAACTTATAACAAAACTGCTTCCCACGAACCATGCATCATTATGCATGTCTGAATAGTTGGTTATAATAGCAGGTAGCGCAGTGACTCAATTTTGAGTCACTTTAAAACAAATGGCTCGACTCGAGGGTTTCGTTGTGCACTAACGTAACTTCGGTGACTCGTTGAAATATCAGCTGCATACAGGTATGTTTGTAAGCCTCTAAAACAAAACAAAACAAAACAAAGCATAAAACTCAAAACAAGAACAAAACCTGAATCTCAACCCAGTCTCCGTGCCTCTTGGGTTGGGTGCCTATTGTCTATTATTATAAAGTTGCCTTTCCATAATTATGCGCGTCAACACTTCCACCAAGCGCTGCATATCCGTCAAATTCACGCTCCCGGGGCGATTTTGAACGGCCGAACGCAACGCACCCTTGTGTTATGTTAATGGATTCAATTTTGTGTCCGTGAAAGTGGAACGCATTAACGCATCGTGTACGCAACGCACACAAAACCCTAAAATTATGGAAAGGCACCTTTACTAGAATTGACTCCAGCATAAATTTGACTCGAATCGAGCACAGTGTGTGGCAGGACTCTACCTTCTTGACCCCATTAGCTCGACTATAATACTCGCTCCATTGAAAATTTAATGACTCAACTCGATTTGAGTCATTTACACCGGTCTGTATCCCGATCAGTGGTCCCATCGCTCTTTCGTTGCATTCATAAGGCGGATTCCGGTGTCAGTGGAGCAACGTCCGATCACTGATCGCGATCCGGATCCGTGTGAAACGAACGGGCCCTTAGAGATTCGTTAGAGGAGATTGTATTACCAGAATGAGGTGTAAACAAATCAAGTCAAAGACATTATCCCCCCCCCCACCATATCTGCTCGGATGAACTCGCTCCTCCGTGACAAATTTCTGTCTGCTGACGTGGATGGGCAAGGATCTTGCAATTACGGTTTTTCTGTCAATACCAGATCAGACGATGTTCCCAACAGAGCTTGGGTAAAACGTCCGGGAAAAAAATATCCGCGTGACATTGGAAACAAGACGCGCGTCTTGTATCTCCAAAAAGACCCTCAGCTGTGACATTTGGAGCTCTTGTTTTTCCATTCCAATGTTAAATCGGTCACGATAACCACATGGGACAAGAAACGGGCCAAGACCCGCTTCAGTGCGGTAAGACCGACGGGCTGGGACCGGGGCCAGCGCTTCCAATTTTATTACGCGCGCACAGTCCATTGGGGCAAGCGTGATTACCTGACCGTATACTCAAGTGCCGAGTGACCCGCCTTGAAAGCACGTCTGTACCGTAATGATGTGAACCCAAACCATCCCAAAATATCCCCAAAACTATCAAGCCGTCATTGAGTGGTCAGAGTTTAATATTTTGGACTTTAAAAAAGTCACAACGGATGTTTCCACAGGAAGAGTTGAAGGACCTGTTCAAAATCTTCCGCTGGGGTTTTCTGACGTAAGCAGCGATGAAACACAGAACCTTCAGAGAAACCCCAGAGACGGGCGTACCGATTGATGTCACGCTCGAAGTTTCGTAACTGCCCTCGATTATTTTAATTTTAAAAGCATTGCCGTCACAGATTTCAAAATCGTTGTTTGGTATTCATGTATTATCAACACAAGAGGGCGCTGTAAAGATTTGCGTGGCCGTCACAGACTCAAAACACACTCTGTGGTAACCGTCGATCTTGAGCCACGGGATCCGCATTTGCGCGAATTTGAACGCAGTTTCAACTGTTTCTTACAAACGAAGAAACTAAATCAAAGCCAACTGGACGCTCTTCATTGTTGCGTTTAGCCGAGTGGTCTGACATCATGGGAATGGAAATTTAATTTTCCAGAAGTATTTTACTATCCTTTCCAAATGTAAACGAGTGAAATACTATATAATGTTGTCCTCGTGCAGCTCTTTTAAAAAGAGATTGGTTCTACTGCTACAGTTGACCACAGTCTAGTTTTTTTAGAAATCATGTTTTCATGCAGTTGGATTTGTTAGAAAGAAAATGTAAGGAAATAATCATTTAGTACAGTCACTGGACGATCAGACTGCGTCACATTTCATTTAAAACTGCTTTTCTGAAACGACGAGCGTAAATGCAAACCTAATACGGCGAAATCCGTCAGTACTTTGTACACATTGCAGGATCCCTCTGTCCTTGGATAGGAGGGGGCGATGTTTAGCAGTTAAGTGGGATGCTTTTTCGTTTATTATTGGTTTTCGTGGAAACCTCATTTCGATCATCGCTGATGGCTTGAATTCTTCTTAATATACTTTATTTGCAACAAAATTTTCTGATCATTGAAAAAGTAGCATGATCGTCGGTTTGAGGAGGGCTTTTTAGCATTCTAGACAAGCAGGCAAACCTTGCTGAGGTGTGCATCAGACTTGAGCGTCGTGGTCATCGCTCTGAGGAGAAAACACGCGCTGGAGCCTTTGAGCCAGGGCAAACGGTTCGCGGGAATCACGTAGATACGACGTCATCAGATACACACCTTTTACGTCTATGCATGTGTGCGCACCTTTGTCTTGCGTATCTACTGGCCAGGGGTTTATACCTGGTGATACTGGTTTCCTGGCCTGTTTTCTTCAAAAATATGCCACGACGTCTTTATCAAGTTTCTCTGCTTTTCTTTGGCATTCTTTTTTTTTCTTTCTTTTTTTTTTATTTACTATAAAGAACCAGCTTTCGGGATTTGACGTATCCTGTCCAAAAAGAATCACCGAGAGTTGATCAGTTTCCCGCGTTTAAGGAAAGGGGTCCTCAACTGTTAGGGAGAAATCCACGGCAAGATGGCCCATTGCGAGAATCAAAGAGGTGGGTGGGTGAACGCAAGCTCCATCAAGTCTGCATACTTCAGCTTGAAGAGGAGCCTCGTCTTTACCTACTCGTATGCGTATCCATTATTAGTTATGCTGTAAGCACTGAAATGTGGAGCTACAGCAATGGCTGACTTAACCCCCGTTGGCCAAACAGTCACGCCCCAAGCATAGATTTCCCTCTCCAGTTCCCCGAACAAAATACGTCTTTTGTGGTCACGACTGATTGTGTGAACCATTGAGTTAAAAATCCAAACAGTCATCTTGGAGAAGATCGAGTCCTGCTGGCTTGACTACGAGTAGCTGGGCAGGGCACCCCATTAGGCGCATTTGAAAATTTTATTTATAAATATTCAACCGTCGCAGGTGTCCAAAAGTAGATTTTCCCCTTACTCACCAAAACAAAATGTACCCCATGCTCCCCTCCCCCCGCAATGAAAGCTACTCCCCTGAATGAGTCCTCCACGATTGCGGCTCACGAGTCGCAGAACATGGTTGGTAAGTGATAAAAGTGAGTTGTACGGAGGCTATAAATGGCGCCCTCGTATTACAAAGTAAAAATTACCCCCCCCCCTTCTGAGAGGAAAAAACAAAATGGGGGGGGGTTATTCCGTACAATTTTCAGCATTGTTTCACACGGAATTAATTCATAGTGATCTACGCATGGAACATGGGAAATGTGCATTACAGGCTAGGCCGAGCTGGCTGGTGCAGAGAACTGAGATGTCAAAACGCAGTCTTTTCGGCTCGATTTTTCAGGATTAAAGTCCAGGAAGTATTTCATCCGAAAATGTTCATAGTTCTGAGAATAAAAAGAGAGAGGGGCGAGGACGGGGGAAGAAAAAAAAAAGAAGAAGATGGATGTGGATGATTTTTCTCATTAATATTTTGTGATCCCCGTATGGGTTGTTTACAATCGGACCAATCACAGAAATACTTCCATAAATCAAAAAGTTGGGACTTGTAGCTTGCAACTAGGGGTACATGTACCTCGTTCACAAAACCTCCAACCTTTATTTGGGCTTAGTTTTGCATAGAGGTGGGCGCATACATTCAGAGCTGAGTGCACAGTTTTTGACTGCTATATTGGAGGTGTTTTGGGGAAAGGACAAATAAAAAATCGCATGGTTATAAAATCAAAAAGAAAACTTAACTGGCCAATATTTTTAATTTCCAGTAAAACACTCCCACCTCGTACTAGAAGTCTCCCGGACCGGGCGGTGTCCGATTTTCCACCGTTTTCTATGGGCGCATAATTTTGTTTCGTGTAGTGCAACGCTGCTGGCTGGAACTGCATGCATGCAGTGCAGTGATTTTCGAAGCAAGTTCTTGACTTGCTTTAATCAAGTGCGCCCCCAATGTGATAAGTTCTAGAAAGTATAAACGGCTGATTGAAGACAAGTTGAAGATTTGTGCCGGACATCCCGTTTTGTTATCATTTTTGGGCTTTTAAAGAAGTTTCGATTAATCCTGCAGGATGCCTCTACTCACTACTTGTTGTGGGTGTTGGCAGCTTCGTCAAGGAACATTTGTTAGCTGCGCATATAGCTTGGTAAGTCGCGATTATGCGGGACTGCGAAAGTACCTATGTTACAAGTTACTGTACATGTACAGTACGTGTCGCACTTACATGTAACAAGCATGGACGTACATTACGTACATGACGCATACCGGTACGTACTGTACATGAATTTTATGAAAGGCATGTTTCGTGCTGTCATCAGCCTAGCCGATCAGCCGATTTACTTTGCATTTAGACACAATATAGTCCACCACCGTGAATTAGAGGAAAGAGTTCCATACGGACGCTTGAAGTTGATACCCTGTGCACCAACCCCTAGTGATTTAGCCTAGGTGGACTCCCTCACCGTACTGGTACGTTACGCAGGGAGTCCAGGATATAAAGGGTGCAAAATCGGGTGAAAGATTTTGTGATTAAAATGTTCAACACTTCTACATTTTCCAAGGAGCCAATTTCATGTCTGTAACTCCTATGGGTCTTTATCTCCATAGCTGGTGGGATCAGAAATATCAATATTCTACTATGGTCAGTATGGGAAAGCTGAAATTCATGACTTGTACAAATCCTTGCCATTTTTTAGCTATTATGTGTTAACATGTGGACTGATAAAAGGTGTCCACACAATTTGATAGAAGTTAAGGGACTCTCGGCAGTTCTGTGTCGAGGGTATTATCCAGCAAGGCTTTGGCACATTTCTGTTGCTAGCAATTTACTCATATTTGTTGATTTGTCCTCTTTTAAAAGTTATACCGAATGCATTTTTTTTTAGAGATGGAGAACTTTTCCAGAACGCGCTGGCATTGATAGATCTTTTTAATAAACTATACTGATGATGAGAGTCAATAACGGCAATTAACTATCATAATCTCTTGGGCCTGAATTTAGAAACGAAAAATTGCCTACATGTATTTTGAGATTATTGAGTATTTTGAAATTGCACATTGTTGGGATCCATTGCCCGATAACCAGACAGAGCTCCAGCATGACCATAAGCGTCAACCTCCCAAGCCAATGAATTTTAAGCCCACTGACAAAACTGTTCGGCGACATGATTTCATTGGTGAAAAACATTGACAAGAATATCGGAAGGCACTTATGATTACAGAGGACTCCAAACAACTACATAGTACACATGAATTTGAGTTTCCATCTGTTTGATGTAGGCCTAAGTGAGGCTGAGGGTTTTAAGAGAGCGTCTCCCCAACCCCCCAACCGAATGATTATGAATTAGATTTTTAAAACCTCGACACAGTCTAGCTACCGGTATCTGTCCATTGCTCTAAAATCCAACTTGTCACAGCCAATTACCAATTCGGTCTGCTTATTGTATGTTTAGTTTACGAATAAAAATAGAAAGGCCAATCAACCGCACGATTTGTGCGTGATCGCTACTTACCGCCTGTTCGTGCGCAAGTTCTACCCCTGCATACTGTGTTCTCAATCAGTATAGCATCGCTCTTGCCTGTTCATCATGATCATCATGCCCACAAAGTAATCCTCTTGTTTTATTCCTCAGTTCTCCAGAGGTCTGTTTCTTTTTAATAAAAATTGGATCTTTACTGTATTGTGTATTTATGCATCTTTAACCAATAAAACTCCTACGAACAAATTAAACATGATAACACTTCAAAGACAGATCGTTGATGAACTTATTCCCGTACAAAAACCCTGCATATACAAAGCCCTCTACGTGAACCGAGGTTATTCTTATGAAATAGCAGGGTGTCTCGGAAATTTATGTTTGTAAACCGAAATTTAAAGCAGAACAAAATCTGAACATTTTAGGGGGAACCAATAGGGGGTTAATTGGTCAGTCTGAAGCCCCTGATCCAACAAAAACAGAATTGCATTTTTATATCAGCCCAATAGCAGGTGGGTTAAAGCCAGGTACCAGTCACAGCCTCCATGTAGCGCTTTCGCAGGCGTGCAACAGACGTTCACTGGAAATCGTGCACGTGTAGTGCGTGCATGCAGCTCGGATTCCTGTACATGCGTGCACTTTACAACTCAAGAAGGGATGAATTACATCTACAAAAGTAACGTTGTCTCTCACTTACGTTCCTTGATTTTGCAGTCCGTGGTTCATTCTGAAATTCCTAGCCCCCCCCAGACGGATAGATAAGGCCACAAAGAACTTGTAAACGTGAAAAATTAGTTTCTTCAACAAGGTAAACCAAGTGCAAATTAGAACCAAATTTGTGGTTGTTATGTACACGAGTCTTAGACCCTGGACGTCAGTCATAATGAAATGAAGACAATGTCCAACCCGGGCTAATGAAATGAGGACAACGTGCACCCTGGGCTAGTAGTAATTACTAGTAGAGTACCAGTTCTTAACCAATTGATTACGTACGTAACTCTCATTGCAAAACCTGAATGTTGCAGGGATTCCTGCTTCACGTCTTGCACATGCACTTACAAGAAAAGGACCTGCCTTTCACAAAATGGTGCATTCTAGAAGTGGAGTCAGTAAAACTGACAAAACTGTCAATCTATACTACAAATGTGACTTAAAATGAATTTGTTGGTACAGTGCTGTTTTATGAAGAAGATTTTGTATCAAAATGTGTACACACAAATCACCTTTGTAACGAAAAGGCAGAGTTAAATCTTTGATGATGTATGCATTTGTCATGTTCATGTGTAACATCCAGGGCATCTCCTTAACGCTTGAGTGCACACTTCATTTCAGATTCAAAATGCTGTTGGTTGAGACTTTAATACATGTACATGTAGCCTACTGTCCATTTTTCCGATGAAAGTAAGTAACCAGTCACGTCAAGCATTCTATCAGTGGAAAGCTTATACCCTGACCATTCTTAAACCATTTATACCAAGACCACTCGGCCAGAAAAAATATTCAAATATTTGATAAATAATATAATATATAATAATATTCGATAATTGATTGAAAATTTGGATTTTCGGCACAGCCCTACAGGTACATGTATTTTGCTTTCTTTTCATGGTCTGTGGCTTCTAGAGATTTTTGTCAAGGGAAATGAAGTCCTAAGGACAGATCTGAATGCCATCTTGTGAATTAGATTCACAGTGACAAATGTAAGCATGAAACCAAACGAAGCATTAGGGAAACACAACACCAGACAGAGAAACTACATGTAGATTTCCACTGCCTTTTCACTGTCATTTCAACACCTTTCCCCCTTGTTACAATGTATCTTTTTAATTCCTTCCATAATCAAACACTGACAAACTAGACTAGTTTGGCCACTTCAGCTGTCAAGCACTTCAGCATGAAATTGTAGTCGGCAATCTCGGCTTTGCTATGGTCTTTTTTCCAGGATTTGAAGTTTGCAGAGTGGTAACACAAAACACACAACTTGATCTACATGTAAGTACATGTACATGTAGTGTACATGTAGTTTCATTCCAATTCAAAGTCATATTTCTTGAAGATGATCACTGGGGAATGCTGGTTGACTTATAACTCACTCAAGAAGATAAGAATTAAGATCAACAGAGGATTGAACCTCTAGCCTCTCAGATTTGTTGACATACATGTACATGTAAGATGACCAATGCAAACTAATCAAAAAAGGGCAGTGTTTATGTTGGAATTGGAGCCTCCTAGAGTGGGAATAACATTAGATTAGTTGCAGTAAAAGTCCCCCCAAAACAGGCACTGCGTTGCTACGCGAGAACAACAGTGAACTGGTCAAATACATGTATCCACTGTCTAAAATAAATATCAGCGTGGTTCTAAAAGTAGGAAAAGTGTCCTGATGCAAAGATTGATATTGACTCTTGTTTAACATGTATGGAATTAAATCACAAACCTCCGTATTTATAAGGGCCATTCTATTTAAATCCATGCAACACTGTCTTGGCTTTGTGGCCCCAAGATTTGAATGTCATTAGGTACATGTACATGAGTCGCATTTTATGAGACTAGAAACTCATTTTGTGAGTTTTTTCTTGGACACACTTTTTGAGAGTCTGTACACCCTTCTTCGGTCTGTAGAAACTAACATTCTATTAGGTTAAATGTAATGAAAAGCACACTTTTTAAAAGACTTTTTTGAAAATTGTCAATTTTTTTTTCTGGAAAGCAGCAAGTGCTGCTGCCATGGTGTCAATCAGAAAAGACGCTGTTCAGTTTGTATGCTTTTCTGTAGCCTAAAATTTGCTCATAGAAAACATTTCTGAGAGAGGGTTTCTTGTTGGCTTACCACTGCTCATGTACCCGTACGTTGTAAGGGTGGGACATTTACACGTTTAAACATTTAGAACAAAACCACTTCCGTTCTGTTCACAGCTTTCCCCAAACGTTTTAAACGGAACCACCCCTTAATAGAGGTTTGACGTTTTAATTGATGCAATCTGGCATTTATTGAGTTGTAACCAATGCCTGTAAACTATGATCTGATTTTCAGAACACATTACTGCTCGGTTATATCAAAGGAATCGACCATAAATTCACCACCCAAACTTTGTGTCAACCATTTACATTGTGCACACTTTGTTGTGTTTGAATTTCTCAGTGACCCCGGGGTACTTGTAAAGGTGGGACGTTAACACGTTGTAATGTTTAAACGGTATGAGAAAGCTTTCTCAATTTTTCAAATTTTCAAAGTAATCGTAAATTTCCACCCTCAGTACATGCTTGTGGCAATTAATCATTTATGAGAAGTTTTACATGTACAGCAGGGTACCAAGCGAAATATCCCAACTTCCAGCTTTTTTGTGTTCTCAAGATCAATGCAGCATTGAGGCTTCCCCCCCCCGGGATTTCTTCATGTTTTGTTCATGATAATGGAAATAGACATAAGCTTAAAGTAGCCAAGCAAAAAATTGAAAACGAGGTATGTGAAATACATGTTCAATACGTGCGTATCTAATTCAATTGCATGGCATGGACTATTTAAGGAAACAGATGAACTTGTTTTCGTCACTTGAATTCTGTGTTATGACCATTTCTGGAAGCATGTAGACCTACATGTACATGTACAAACATGGCCTCCATATGCATGTCAATTCACAGTCAGGAGTATTATTACATACAGTAGGGT